TCTCCTCTGTTGCTCTGATAGCTGGGGATCTCTCCTTGCAATCCTCACGTGACAGACACTTGACAGGCCGCCCATCCCACCCATCCAGAGAGCACTATGATGACACACTTGGTGCCAGAGCTGCTGAGACCGGCCAGGGCGAGGGTTCAGGATGGGCCTCTCCTCCCACGATACACCCACAGAGCCATTTGAAGACAGGGACCTGATTACCTCTCAGGGCCTCCCAGCTCCTGTAGTGCAGAGCCCCAGCAGGGAGTCTCAGCACATGGGAGGTGCTCACCCACAGTCCACTGAAACCATGGGCGGTGTCCGCTCCCTTACCAAGGACCTACAACCACCAGCGTCACCCTAAGAGCTCTCCCTGCATCCCTTACCAGATTCTCCCCCAAACCCTCAGAGGATCCTCACTTTTTAGGCTCAGAGAGGGTGTCCACAGTCACGCACCTCTGCAGTGATGCCTCTTGAACTCTGTGAAATGCTCCATCCTGCTCCAGGCAGGCAGTGCTCCTCAACCTGACACCAAGAAAACCTTTTCTCAGCTGAATTTCCTTGCTTGTCGAGTAAAATGAACTGAGCCACTGAATTCTTCCTTCAACTGTCTGCAAACCCTGTTCTATCTGAAAAGCTCCAGACTCTCTGTCACCCATGAGCAGCGGGAACCAGCTGGGGGTCATGTGAACCAGACTACAGATACCCAGCCCCCACTGCTCATCAGGTGATCCCACAACTAACCAGCTCTGAGTAGCCACAGGGACAACACAGGGCCAGGGCATTAGTTAGAGGGCTGGGCTGACAGCAAACCCAAAAGTTAAAGAGAAAAAGCACCAGACCCCCAGGCAGACAAGGCTGGTGACATGAGAATAAGTGTTTACTCTTTGCCCAGCAAAGTTTAAGTACCAACCCACCATGTTGTCCTGTGGCTACTTATATGAGGCCTCCTTTGTGGGTAAGTGCCCTGAGTCCTCCTCAACTTAGGGGTTGGCAATCCAAGGACAAGCTAATAAATTACTGAGTGGATAAACTATTACTAATAATTAATGAATGTGAGGATAAAATCAACAAACCATTCAACTTGGGAAACCCCCAGAGAAATAATTATGATAACTACAATGCTAGACAACATCCACCCAATCTCCAACCCTTCTATCCATTCATCCATCCATCCACCCATCCATCCATCTACCCATCCACCCATCTATTCACCCATCCATCTACCCATTCATCTACCCACCCACCCACCCATCCACCCATCCATCTACCCATCCAACAATCCATCTATCCATCCATCCATCCATCCACCCATCCGCTCATCCAACCATCCATCCACCCATCCAACCATCTATCCATCCACCCATCCACCCACCTACCCATCCACCCATCCACCCACATACCCATCCATCCACCCATCTACTCATCCATCTACCTATTCACCCATCCACCTATCCATCCAACCATCCATTCATCCATCCATCTACCCCACCTATCCATCTATCCATCCACCCACACATGCATGATCCGTCCATTCATCCATTTACCCATTTACCTACCCATCTACCTATTCACCACCCATCCATCTATCCACCCATCACCAGGTAACCACCCATCCATCTATCATACTCATTCAGCCATCCACTCTACAATTCACTGTACATTCAAAATGTGTTCTTAAGTCCTCCAATGCCACTCCTCACAACACATAATAGTCAGATGAAGCAAGGCAGAGGCTGGTGAGAGGACTGATGGAAGAAGTTCCCAGGCAGCCCAAGAGGTTTCCACAGCCTACTCCAGGGGCAGCGGGACAAGAAACCACTCAGGACCCAGGTAGTTTATAGTCAGGCTGAGAAGCCAGACTTCCAAGCCCAGACAAGTTCTCATCCAGGCTCCATGGAGCACCAGCTCTGTGACTTCTGACTCCTCTTTAGAGTTTCAGGGTCTGAGAACACTGGATCCTGCTCCAGCCTGGTCCTCACTTTGTCCAGAGCCACCTGGGAGGCTGGCCTGAGTGTGTGTAGTTGTTGGATAACCAGGCTGGCACTGCTGTTTCTTTGATAAACAGCTCTGATAACAAGCAGAAGAAACAGCCTGTTTCTTAGCAGGATTCCTGGGGTGATCTTATCTTTTCATTGTACTTTTAAAGGGACAAGGAGCGGAGGAGAAGGAGAAAGGGCCTGTCCTCCATGCTTTCCCATCCACCTACACTGGACTCTGGTTTAGGTGGTTTATGGGGAGAGATAGGGGAACATGGAGCAGGAAGGCTGGCCTCCTCTCTCCCACTCCTGGACATCTGGCTCATGGTCACCCCCTCAAGCCCCTATATCTGACCCCAGTAAGACAACCCTGTGTCCACCCCAAGCCCCAGGCAGCTCTGATCACTTGGGGAGGCCCCCTGCATTTACCAGCCCAGAAAGGCCAGGTCTGGAGGTCAAATTGTGAAAATGCCCTTGGCTGTGACTTATGGCCAGCACTGTCAGGACTCCTCCCAGAAATGGCCTTAGAGTTGCTGCCACTTCAAATCCTCTTGAGTGATTATTCTGTATCTGAGAAAGAGGTCAGGAGCTGAGTGCGTGCCCCGTAACAAAATGCAAAGTCTGGACAACATAGCTCTCCCTCCCTCCCTCCCTTCTTCCTTCCTTCTTTTTCCCACTTTCTTTCTTTGTTAAAAATAAAGATATGTTCGAAGCCAATAAATGAGTCTCAGCTTTAGTTCCTTCTTCCTCACTCACCTGATCTCCCGTAACTCCAGGAGAGCCCGTTCAGACACCATGTGTCCACTTTCTCTGCTTTGTTTGTTTGGAGCTCAGCCTGCTACCTCGGTAGAGGTAGGTACCAGTGACCCACCTGCCCTGTGTTTCTGGGGCCTCACCTGTGAAGGGCAGAATGCCTTTGGAGCCCTCCTCACCATGGTGAGACAGAGTGCTCTGTGGAGAGACACAGCACAGGGATCACAAGCAGGAGCCCTCCTGCCCTTCAGCTGTGGGGCATCAGGACAGTAGTACAGGCTCTAGCAACTCATTTACCCATTTTGTAAAATGGGACTAATAATATCAGTGCTTGCCTTTCTCATTGGGTGACTTGGGTGAAAAAGACTCAGCCCCAGCCCACACCATAGTCTCAAGAGTCATTGGAAATTCCTTTCTTACAAATAACCAATACTCTATTAACACACACACACACACACACACACACACACACCATATTTTATGGAGAAGTTCCTATTTGTAATCACAGTGCAGTAAGTTCTACAAGTACGGAAAGATGACACCCCCACCCCTACCACACCGCATCAAAGTGACTCTGCACTCCCTAGGACAGATCATTAATACTTGAATCCTCGACTGTGCCTGAAACTTGGAAATGCCACATTCGGAAGCCCAGAGAGGGCAGTTTTCAGCAGTCATGGCCAGAATTACATGTAGTGTTTATACTATCTGTAATTATAAATTTTGCAAATTTAAAGACACATAATTTTCACAGTCATAATTATGCAATTACAAATAATCACCCTATACAACTCTCCTCTGGCCCATAAAAGTTATCTCTTTCTTATTTGGATTTAATGTGAGGCATGTGGCCACTGTCTGACGGAAGGTTCTCACCAGTTCTAGTTTCAGCAGGCCACCTTGAGCCTCATGCCACTTTTGGTAATCCACAGAAATAGGGGGAATTGTCACTTTTGAGAAGGAAACCGCTCACTTTCCTCACATTTCCAACTATATAAGATCACACTGTGGTCCCACTCTGTTGTATTTGCTGTTGCCTCTGGATAGCAGGAAAGCAAGGGTGGCCAGGAGGCCTGGACAGGGTCCTGAGGTGGATGGCGAAGGGCTCTATGACTCCCAGAGTATCGCTCAAGTTTCTGGTAAAAAGTCAAGGCAAGCTAATGTCCTAGCCTCTTCTGGGATGATCAGCACACAAAAGTGGCACAGATTAATTCGTGCAACCCCAGGGCACAGATTCCCCCACCCTGCCCCAGGGGAACAGCACACTCTCTTCTATGTCTCCCTATTCTCTTTTGCCCCCCCCTTCCCCCCCTTCCTCATTCTTCCATCCTTGATCCCTTTCACTCCCTCCTCCTTTTCTGACTCACTTCTTCCTTCCCCATTTCTCTCCTTTTCTTCCTTTCTCTCTCTCCCAGTTCACAGCTGCACCAGAAGCTGGTCCTTGGGATCCACAGGTCTCCCCGCGCCCCCCCCCACACACACACACACCACCATTCTACTTCAGCAGCAAGACCTCCAGGCCTGGAGGAGCAATCCAGCTCCCCCCACCCCATTCATAAAACCAACAAAGGCCAAAGTCTTCTTCCCAGGTGCCCTCACACCTATCTTTCAGGCTTGCCTGCAGAATAGGATGCCACCAAGGATGTCCAATGCGAGGGTGCTGGTAGGAGGAGCCAGTTTGTCTGTCCTCACGTGCCTTACCTCCCTGAACAGACTCACTCAGAGGAGGATTGGGAGGAAGTAAGAGGAGGAGGGGTGGGAAGACGCCTGCCCTTGTGTTTCCACACTGCCTAGATGCTCTGCGGAGCTGAGGACCGCTATTTACAGAGCGGCTGTTGGATTCTGGGCAGCAGGCTTGGCCACTTTCACTGCGCTCCTCTGCTTGCTGGGTTCCAAGTTAACACAACTTTTCCGAGAGTGTCTGGAAGCCTACACAAAAACTTCAGGGGTCCTAGGACCCAGCGGGACTTTAGAGGAGCTTTCCCGACCCCCACGTCCTTCCCCTTCCAGGGAATTGCTGGCTAGGGGTGCGCTTTGGCTCTAGGAGCGCACCACTCTTGCTTGGAGGAGTCAAGGGTTTGGGGAGGCCTCCTTGCCCACTGCAAAACTTTGGCGGAGGCAAGGGCCAGGGTGGGGAGCGGGGTCTGCCGGGGTCTGCCGGGGGTCTGAATGGCAGGAGGAGCTGCTCCAGAGGGCTGTGAGCGCTGCGCGGGTGAGCGCGCAACGCTGGGGGCTGTCTCCACCTCTTCTGGCAAGTTGGACCTATGAGTGCGCAGCTCCGCTTAGATCTCTCCGCAGCCCGGGAGGGTGAGCGCGTGTGAGAGCCGACAGGGGCAGGAGCGCAGGACCTTTGCAACTTTGTCTCAGGACCCAGCCTGGACGCCCGGGTCCGCTGCCGCCAGAGAACCCCGCGCCCTCGCCCCCTCTCAGTGCACGCGCCTCCAGGACTTCCTGAGAGCCCCAACGGGATGCCCGCAGCCATGCTGCCCTACGCTTGTATGCTGGTGCTTTTGGGAGGTAGGTGCCACTCCGCCCCCCTCACTCTGTCTCACCGCCTGAGAAGAGAAGGGAGGGAGAGAGCTCACAGTCTGACTTTCCCTGAGGTCGTAGGGACTGCTGTACCCCGCCTGGCTAGTGCTGCTGTGCTCTAAGCGCCCCTCTGCAGCCCTGCTGCAGAGGAGCCCAGGCAGGAGGAATTGTCACTCTGTGTCTTTGGGGACTGGCCTCCATAGGCCAAGAGCAGTTCCTTGTGTAGGGCCCCAGGGGTGCAGTCCTCCAACAAGTTGCAGAAGTATCCCAGGTCCACGGAGACCCCCCAGAGCCGGGGAAATCACCCCAGGTCACTCAGAGGAGTGCTGCTGGAATGGACCGCTGATCTGTGGACCTCGCGGTACTCAGCTTTGGAGAAGTTAGGGGAGGGTGGAGTGTAACTGGGCCCAGGTTGGTGCCCATCGGGCCTGGCAGAAAGAGTCAAGGACCCCCTGAAAAACTTAGTAGAAAAGACAGTGGCCTCCTGATGGCTCTTCATGGGGTGGGGACTCTGTAAATGCCACCTGAGTGTGGCATGTCATTATGGGGGCCCAGTCACTGTTGGCAAAAATGATGATAACAACAGCAGTTGTTGAAGTGTGGCTCAGCCCAGGGCTCATCCCGAGCATCCTCACATGATGAAGAACTAAGAATTTTGGCCCTGGAGTCAAACCCTCTGGCTTGGAAACCCAGATCAGCTTTATTTCAACCTGTGTGTGTGGCCATCAGCCCTATCCGTGTGTCCATCAGCGCTGGCCGCTGGCTGCCAGCCCTGTCTGCCTCAACTGCCTCCTTTTCAGATGGGCTCAGCAGACTCCTGCCTTTGGGGATCACTGCAAGGATTGCAAGAGGGTGTGCAAGAGAAGCCCTCAGCTTGCTGCCTGGCACCCCTGGGACCAATCAAGTGTCCCGTGAATGGCAGCCAGTTCCATGGCCATGAAGTGCTGCCCACACCCGTGGGCACTCAACTCCACCCACAGGCAGGGAACAAAGCCCACCTCTGGCACAGGAGCTCTTTGAGCCCAGGCTTTTCTTACAGCCTGGTTTCTTCACAAGATGTTTTGAGAAGATACAGAGGTTCCGTAAGGAAGGTCAAGGGAAGGGTGTGCTCAGTTTGAAGAGTTGCAGATGCACCCCTCAAAAGGCACATTGGTTAAGGGCTGCCTTCCCTACTCAGCTGGAAGTGAGAGGTCACACAGCTATCCTTGGCTACAAAGTGCTTATTTTTGGCAAAAATAGGCCTGAGACAACCCTGTTGACTTACTAGAAAGTCAGGACCGGAAGGGTATCCAGGGATAGCCAAGAAGAGTCCATGCTGGGTGTTGAGATGCGCGGACAAGGAAACCTTGTGTCCGTATCCACTCCTGCAGCACCCGGCCCCCAGCTCTCCCATGCTGGGGAACAGGGCAGTCCTGATTGGTAGGACACATTACCCCGGGAGCCGACATTCTCAGTCACAGTGCAGGGTTGTTGTCTTTGGCAGGCCCGAGTCTCTCGACATGCCAATAAAGTCACTGGAAGTTTACATCAAGGCTCTTGGGGAGTCCTGCTGCTTCATTCCTTGGTGACTTTTTGCTATAGCAGGTCAGACAGATTCCGCAGGAGAGCAGCCAAGAGGGCTCGGTCACCAGCAGGAGCCCTAGGAACCATTTTCCACGGGGTACTTTTGTCAGATGTCATTTTTGCCACTGGCTGCATCACAAGATGGCAAGATCCTCTTGCTTTCCTAAAAGGAAACAGCCCAGCTAATCCCTCAGCCACTTGCATCATTTGGTACCTGAGCTGAGGCATGTGAACTTGGTGTCCAGGTTCTAGAAGCTTGGAGTAGAATGGCACCCAGAGTGCCCTATCAAGGACATTCAGGTTGAGCACGCATGCACATGCACACACACACCCTCGCCAGGGCGTCGGGACCTCAGCACGACTAAGTGACATTTGGAACCAGAGTCTTTGTTGGGGACGCGGAGCTGTCCAGCCCATGGTGGGCTGTTTAGCAGTATCTCTGACCTCTCCCTGCCATCTGCCAGTGGCACCCCCTTCCAGTCGTGATATCCAAAAAAAGTCCCCAGACATTGCCAGGTGTCTCCTGGGGGCAAAATTGTCCCCTGCCAAGAGCCACTGGTCTGGTGTGGTATGGAGAGATTGACCCCAGTTGGTAGCTTTTCACATAAATCTTTGTCCAAATCAGCAGGTTGGGTGGACTTTGTTATTTTTGCTCTGAACAATCAGGAAATCAAGGGCACAGCGGGGCCCCAGGAAAAACAACACAGCCTAGGTGGTTTCTAATGGGGACGTTGATTTTTCCCATTTGTTCTCCCTCCATCTGTACTTGACAATGTCCTCGGGTTCGGGACAGGAGGGAGACTGCGGAACACCCAGTTACCCGCTGCAGCGAACCTGCCTCCAACCCAGGATGCCAGATGTATCAGGCCAGCTCTCCAGCTGCCAGCTTTGGTTCCCTCCTCAGTAATTTCTGGCTTTTAAAAAATCTCCTTATTCAACAATTTATGCTTGAGGGGGAAAAAGAGAAACCAAAGTTGTTTTTTTTTTTCTCACTTGTATTTTTTTTTCAGATTTTGGTCCTGTTTTCATCTCTAGCCATATATTTTTTGTGATTGCAAGTTATCATTTGGAGACAGATTAACTAGGACAAAATCACAGGCTGTACAGTAATAAATTAGTTGTTGATGCGGAGCTTCAAAACCCAGAATAAAAATGGGGAAGAAAATTAAGTAAAAACACACTTGTCTGAAAATTAAATATGAATAGAGATGGGTAATCATATTAATTATTTAAAACAAAATTATCAATGGAAACTTCATCTTGCCGCTTGGCAAGTCGCAAGCAAATCATCCCAGGCAGCTGTTTCACTTATCTTCTGACCAAGGCTGTAATCTCTAAATTCAAAATAACCAGCTCAAGGCAAATATAGCAGCTTCCTTGATTTCAAAACCATCTGGATGGCAAACCAGTTAGAAGCTACACATGAAGAAATATTTTTGCAACATATTGGGAGTCAACTGTGCTCATGAGAGCTGCAAGCCAGAAAGAACCCCTGTTACAATTTTTAAGATAGGGAGGTTCACTTTCAAGGTCAACATGGAGATCAGGAGCCTGTTGCAAAGGAAAAAGAGGCTGCAAAACTGAGTGAAGTTGGGGCATCTGAGCTGAGCAAGGGGCCTCTTGGGGAGGACTAAATCTGAAGGTGGTTCAGGGGCAGTTATGAGTTGTAGCTGGAGGTTTGGTGCTGTTGTTCCTTAAGTGAGAATGACTTTTGTGCAAAGCCAAATCCTGTCGCCACATGGATTATCAGATTGTTTCCAAAAGACCTTGATGTGGAAAAACTAACACCTAGGAAGTTAGATCCATGGCAGAAAGAAGAAAGGGACAGGCCATGTGGGAAGACTGGTCCCAAAGGATATCAGGCCCGCTGGAGTGGTGACCGGCAGGCCAGGGGCACTGAGGTGACTGGTAGGGGCAGACCGTCCCCAGTCTTCTGCCCGTGCACTTGGAAGTCAGCTGGCTGGGCTGAAACTAGCACACTTTGTGTGCTGCAGAGAGCTTGAGAACACTGTTTTTGGAAATACACTAGATCCCACCCTTGCTTCATGATGTTCCTACCTGTCACCTGTACCCACTGAGCCTCCCTGGGTCTGTGTCTCTATCAGTGAATGGGGAATGGTGACAGCTGTGGCCTTGGGGAGCTGAAAGGGTTAAGTAGGATTGATGCGTGGTAGGTATTTAACACCAAGGACTTGCTAGTCCCGTGCTGTTACCATAGCACTGACCCTGCTCAGAGCTCCCTAGACCCAGAGAAGGAGGAGACAGGGCGCTGCTGCCTTGGCTGGAGCTAGGGATATCACCTCATGTTCATTCCTGGTGGCAAGTGCCATGTTTTCTTCCCTCTCTGATGTCCTATGTGCCCACAGGAGCCTCCTTGGCTACTGTGATAATACCAACAACAGCCACAAAATTCCCTATTGTTCCCATGTAGGGCACCCTGAAGCTCTGTGGGGCAAGGCCCAGGCCTTTCTCTGTCACCAATGTTCTTATGTGAAATGCGAATACAGACAGGCAGGTGGGGGAAGAGGAACTGTCTGGAAGAGCTGTGTTCAGAGTCTCAACTTGGGGGACATGTATCGGGCTCCTTCTGCATGTGCCATTGCTGGTGTGCAATGGTGAAGGTGGAAGGACAGTCAGATGGATCCCTGCCCCCTGGGGAAACCAAAGTCAAACAGGCATTTAATCCTCAAAGGTGGAAGTAATTACAAGACTGAAGAGCTGCCTACAGAACAGGTCCAGGAGCATCAGGGAGGTTGAAGAAGGCTCCTAAAAAGGTGATAGACAGGTCAATTGGACCTTGAGAACAGGAGGAGGTGTTAACCGGGGCTAGAGGAACCTCCAGGTAGGAGCGCAGAGGCCTGACCCGCAGGAGGGCAGGAATGTGTTCAAGGAGAGAAGGCTGCTGGGCCGCGAGGGGCTGAGGCCAGGAGGTGGACCATGTCAGAGGTCAGCGAGCCAGGTCCTGGAGGGTCGTGGGGTCTGGGTGGCCTACAAAGGCAGGAATTGCTTACATCCCACCAGCCCTCACCGTTAGCACTCTAAGAATCTTGCAGTGGCCAGGTTGGTAGTTGTGATTTGCACTCATGTCACTAGGAAACAGGAAAAGAGTCTGGGTTTTATGGCCCTTGGATTGCTTTGCCAGTGAACTGCCTGGTCATAGGTTTCGCCCAGCTTTATACTGGACTCTGAACAGAATCTTTGTTCTTATTGATCTGTAAGTGCTCTTTGTACACAGGAAAGCAGCTGTCGCCTGTACATGCGCAGCTCTCCCCAGCTCGTTGCTTGTTCACCCAAGTTCCCAGAATAGAACTGCTGTTCCTCTTCTCATGCATGGTCACACCCTTGACACGTCTGCAGCCACATGTGGGCCATTAGCAGACGTGCACTTTCCCCAGAGGGGAGAGCAGGTGGCCAATACTCCTGCC